AGTAGACATTTGCGTAGCTCTGGCGTCTGAAAAGAAATGTCAGTACAGAATCTCTCTGCTCTTGCCCCCGTCTGCATCTCCCTGTTGATACGCTTTTCGCCCTCCGACCACCCCTCCGCACACACCTCCTGTTTTCCATCTTGCAGATGTTTTTGGTGGCCGAATATTTTAATCTGATTATGCACAATTTTGTGTACTGGTTGGAAGGAAAAATGTGGGGAGCGTCGGGTCCCCCGCCTCCGTTGACAGACTTGGGCATCATGGCTTTTGCGGGAATTTTCCCCCTCTCCTACAGCTGGTTGGTAGGATTTTTCTTGTATTTACTCATTGCGATGGTCTTGGTCCTTTGTCTGGGCCGCTTGCTCCTGAACAATGTGCCCTGGGGGTGCCCGGAGACGGTGCTGGAGAAGCGAGAGGGCGAGACGCTCCGCACCTGCTGCATACCCGTTCCCTTCGTCTACATTTGTAAAAGGGCCTGTCAAGTCCTCACCATTGGACTGGTCCTCCGCGTCCTTTCCTTCGTCTTTACTTTGGAACCGAACCCAGCCGACTACTGCCACCCTCCCTTTTGGGACCCCCCCGATGCCCTCCTAGAGATTTTGGGCCGGATCGAAATCGTGGGCAGCTGCGGAGATTTGCTCTTCTCCGCCCACACCCTGCACGCGATGGCCATGATGTTGACCGTCCTGAGGCATGCGCCCGGCCTCTACCTCGTGACGGGCCTGGCCGTCGCCTCGATGGTCATGGTGGTGATCTCCATGCTGGCCTTCAAGAACCATTACTCGCACGACATCGTGACCGGTAGGGCTCCCTGGGAGGAGAAAGAAGGAGGGAAGATTTATGGAGGCAAGCAGGGAGAGGGGCACGGTATGCCATACGTAGTTTCTCGTACCATTCATGTGGCTTTGTCTCATACCTTTCTGAAACGAAACCTTTCCCTTTTCCCCCTTCCATTCCTCTTCTATCGTCCCCACTGTGTCAGCCATATACACAAGCGTCCTCCTTTGGATGCTGACGCCGGAGCCGACCGTCGCAGATTGCGACCTTTTGAAAGTCGAGCTGCCTCCGGGTGACATGTGGGGTGAGGGGAGGTGACTGGGTAGGTCTTGCACGGAAGAAATCGCAAGGAAAGAGAGCACCACTGAGGGAGGGGAACAAGAAAAGCAAAGCATTGATCCATAGGACCTCTGGCACACGTGGGAAGGGATGACGCACGTCTGTTCTTCTCTTGCCCCCGGATCGCATGAAGGTGCTCTGTCAACATTGCACGCCGAGGACGACCGAGCATGCTGGGAGATTGGACCTGCGTGCCTCGAAAGACGAAGGGTAGCGCCATGACGCGCGCGTTCACATCCTGCGCGACAAGCCCTCAGCCACCGATAATTGTCAGTACTGGTATCATAAGGCACGGTACCGGCAGTCCAAATATCCAATGGGCTTGCGTGCGAACTAACAGTAAAGTCCCCACACCCCATGCAACGTCAAGTCAATGCAGATTCCCGAGCTGTCCCACCTCTAAGACGCGAAGCTCAATTGATCTTCGTTGCTCCTCTCGCGTGACTTCAATCTCCGGGTATTCTTCCCGTGAATTCCATTCATGGAGGGACCCAGGGCGGCCCCTCGTACCGCTCCCTGGCCCTCTTTCCTCGGGGCCGCGCCCCCACGGGGGATGTAGGACATGTGCGTCTAAGGACATTTGAGGCCCTTGCCTCCTTTTCGAGCAGGGTGGAAGAGGGAGGGGGGGTCCGGGGCAGCGGGTGTGAGGCTGAGAAATTGCACCGGTGCCGTCGATCTCGTCGTTGCAAGATTAATTTCCGCATCTCTTCCTCCAAGCCCCGCAGAAGGCTTCCACTGTCCTCCGTTTCGCCTGGCTCCGGGTATCCTGGTGCAGGCGAGGACGAAGGGGAGAGTGGGAGGGGAGACGGACGAGAGGCGTGGAGGCTGGACAGGTTGAACTCGCTGGGAAAGTTAAGGAAGCGGTTGGGAGGCTGCTGTGCAGCACCTTCCGGGTCCCCTGGCTCCTCCTCCCCTTTGACCGCCTTCTCCCATTTCCATGATAAGACCGGCGATCTCGTCTCAGAGGGTTCATGATTCGTCGCCACCTTGCAATTTAATCCTTTTTTTGGCCGATGCGCCGCACGCAGCGCAGCGATTCTCTTCTTGTTTTCACTCACTGCCACGTCCTTTTCAGATGCTCGGTTGCGGCAACGACACGATTTTGGCGTAGAACGACGGTCGGAGCAAAAGATTATCGATGGGCACAGACGCAGATCTGATCGTGCGCAAGGATAGCAGCATGATGCTGAAAAAGGCACTAGCTCCGCGTACAGAGACTGCATGCGGGGGTAGTGAGCATCCAATGTCAACATAGGGAGCTTGATTTCCAAAGGAGCTGTCTTCCTGTGCCGACATTTTTTCTTCTTATCACAAGACTGGGATCTAAGATGACGATAATGTTTGTGGCTGTTTTTTGTGATTATGGTATATGAAATAAGGGCCTAAATGGGCCATGGAAAGGGGCGTCTCCAAAAGAAAGAAATTCCTTACCACAATGAGTGGAGGCTTCGACTACCATAGCCATCCTCACTGTTATCACTGTCTATCAAGTCCTGCATACTACCGGTCGATGACGTCTCCGATCCGCAAGACATTCCTGTTTCCTGTGAATTTGGGAATTTGTTCGATCAATGTGGGGGCGCTCGCCGAGAAGTGTGAAGGAACGAACCGAGGCAGCTGACTTGCCACACAATGAACACTTCCGCGCTCGTCAGTGGAAGGCCGTCTCCAACATTCAAAGAAGGATGTCAATGTCGTCGACATGCGTGATCATGGAGCCCGGTGTGGGGACCCGAACACCGTACGCAGGGAAATGAAGCTGGGATAGATGACTATCCCTCACAGGTCTCTCCTTACCAGTAGTAACTTTAAGAGCGACAGCTCCCGAGAACAGAATTCACTGCTTGTCTGCTCGACAGACATGTCAGAGAATCTACATGGCAGTCATCGCGGCATGTACGGTGTGCAGTCAATCATGCATGTGCGATGCTTGTGCCTGCAGTTGTATCTCTCATGTTCGTCCTTTTTTCCAGGTGCTTCCCCGCAGGAGGAAGAATTCCCTACCCGATGGCGTCCATCAAGAGCCCCAAGCGGAGCCCAACAGCAAGCACGTTTGCGAGTTATAGCGGTCTTAAGAACAGTCTCACGCTCAAGCTAGTGTTCCTGGCCATGTGTGCATGTGCCTTGGTGGCTGCCGTACACTCTCCGGAAGACGATGGCGTCGATGTGATAGGCACTGCATTGCGAGGGGATCATGGACCTCGCCAAGCAAATATAATGGTGAGGACTGGATGAAAACAGTCTTAAGAACTGGGGTAGCCGGATACGTTTTTCCTATGTGACTTGATTGCCTATTTCCTGCATGATATGACCGGCGCACACGGCAATAATGCATTTTTTTCCTCTCCTCCTACATCCCTCCCTCTCTTCCCAACCCTCACGGCCTTGTCATTCTTTCATCTTCTCTCTCCATATCAGGAACCTTCTGCCCTTGCCGTGGCGGCACCCCCAGTTGCGGAGGTGCCGCCCGGCCCGGCTCAAGACATCACCCCTGAACCCCCCCTTCTGTTCCCCGCGGATGCGCAGCTCCAAGATTTGACAGGCGCCCTCGTCAATGCGAACGAGGCGCTGGCCAATCGGTCGGTCGGTTTGTATTTTGGGGCAGGCTGGTGCAGTATGACCCGCGCGGCAAATCCAGGAGTGGCGGCGTTTCTGAGGCCCAGAGAGTCGGAGGGCGTGACGCTGGGTAAGAAAAGGAGGGGTTTGCCTGTGTCTGCGTGTTATTCCTTGAGGCATGGACACGAATTTCCGTGTCACGTGGAGGGTGGGTGAAGACGGCATGGCATATCCGTTAAGTGATTGATTCTTCCGTCAGTTCATTCCATGTGCCTCCCTTGCCCTTCCTCTCTTTTCTTCGATTTTTTGCCAGTCTTCGTCTCCTCAGACACGAATGCGGAGTCGCTCAATGAGCAGCAAGCATCCAACTTGTGGCCCTTTGCCGTCCCCTTCGACAGCCCCCTCCGCCTGTCTCTCAAGGAGTTGTACGGCGTATGGTCAAGCCTGGAGGTTGGGAAAATTCCTGGCAAGAGGCGATCGGCAATTCCGACAGTGATGGTCGTGGGGAAGGATGGAACGGAGCTTGCGCGGTTGGAAGTGGGTGCGCGGGGTATAAGTGAGCTGGACCGATGGAATTACTTGGAATGGAAGTGGGAGTGAAGTGAATGAAGGAACTGGGAATTGGAAGCACGACTACCCAACAGGAATCACGATATGAAGGAAGGAATTCAGAAAAATAGTTTTCGCTGTAGTCATTGTACGTTTTCTGCCTTGCAGAGTCCTTTCTTACTCTTGTAGTTTCCAGTCCCACTGCGGTGTCACAACGTTGTGTACGGGTAGTCATTACAGGAGGTTTTTTCTTTATTAAAGTACGCTGGGAATACCTGTTGGCCTGCAAAAATTGCCTGCCGTCTCCTCTCCATCTCTCTTCCCGATTGTTCACTTTCCTCGTTGTCCTCGTTGGTTTTCTGGCCTTGCCCATTTTTGTCTTCGGAGACTCGCTCAAACCGCCTCCTCGTCAAAGCGAGCGGCCTCCCCGCCACTCCCGACACTTCCGTGTCCCCTTGCCGTCCGTTTCCTGGCTCACACAATGCAACCGTGACTAAGGCCTTCAGAATGGTCTGAATGGAAAAATGATGAGGGAAGATGTCTTTGCGCGTTCAAAAAGAGATGGTTGGGTGGCAGGTTGATGTGTCTATCGGGGGGTACAGCTCGTTTCAGTAATTTCCTGCGAGCGCCAACACCATGTTCTTTAGCACCGATTTTTTTCAACTGTATGGCTTTTCTGTAAAGCATGGGACATGCCATCGGGTGGTAATTCATTGGAGCACACGTTTTGTTCACCTGCTCAAGTCTCTTTAATATCCTCGTCAAATGCCATGCTTTCCCTCGCCCTATGCTACAGACACAGGCATGTTTTTTCCCATCCGCTGATAGGACAACATGACTCGCGGCGTGTCAGGGCTACGATACCTTTGGTATCTACTTTTTCTCTTCGCTGTCTGGATTCTATCCTTTTCCATCGGCACCTTGGTGGGGGATGTGGGTCTCGTCAAGCTCGACGAGTTGAATCTGAGCCCTGTCAAGCATTTGATCGAGGCCTATGGATCGAAAGTGGAAAAGGAAGAATTTCAGATGTTCCAGGACAAGGTAATGCGTTCGTTTTCTAGACGGCCGCAACGGTGGAGGAACTAAGGAGAAGGGCGGGTGTAATGGTCGGTCATCTCAAAGCCTCTCCTTCTCCCTCCGCGGCCACCCAGGTTGCCATCCTCCCGCCGGACGCGGGGGGGCTCACCCACTTTGGAAACATGGCTTTACGCGTCATGCAACGGCACATGCACGCGCAAAGCCGTCAAGCGTCAGGGCCTCCTGGGGATGGACAGGGGGGGGAGGAAGATGCTATCTTGCCCGTCCTGCATGTGGCCATAACCCTCTTCCACCACGCGATCAGACTCACACGTCACAACGGTGCCCTATCATCGCTCGGTGTCCTCTGGAAGCTCTACCCGTCTTTGATGGAACGAAATTCAGAAATTCGGAAGCTGGGAGAACAGGCGTTGACGGAGGAGGCAGAAGCCAGGACAGGAGGGAGGGAGGGAAGGCAGGGGGGACGCGAGGGGGAGGGAAGCATGGGGTATTTCTATTTGTGTCAGGCCAGGGAGAGTTTCGTAAAGATGCTTGCACGGCACCATCGGGAGCAGTGTGCCTCCCTCACTCTGGTCTCAGGTTTGGGCCCGGGCGGGGGGTGGACTCGCCGATACGGCCTGGACGGGGGCGGTCTGGAAGAGGAGGAGGAGGGAGAGGGGGGGGAAAAGGTGCCCCCTCGGGGCCATCCCCACGCCAAGACCACCTGCTTCGAAGGGCAAGAGCTGCTGTGGACCCACGTCCATCCCCCTCTTCCCCTCTCCCTCACCCCCTACCAGCCCCACCCTCCTCTCCTCCCTC